TTTTTATCCTGTTGGTACCCTACGTATAGTTGTCTTTGAAGTTTATGGCAAGACTGTTAAAGTCAATTTCTATTCAACTATGCCACAAAATCCCAAAGTAGCCTTAAGTAACACAAACTAGTTAGAACAGAAACCTAATTAGAGAGGAAGACTTTGCCTAACACTTGGCTGAAAATCTCACCCATTTATTCAGGTAAAGCAGTCTGGTAGATTCCTTCCTGACAATGACACATACTGCTGTCAAACAATATGAACAAGCTGCTTCCATGAAAACTTTTGTCTGTGAGAGCGAGAGTTTATACGGACCTCGCAATGTATAAAGGTTGCAGAAGGTCTTCAGGGTTCAAAATGTCTGTTTGAAGGACTTGTTGTTGGTACTCCAACTTGTGAAGTTACTTAAGAACACTTTTCACTGAGGTACTTTTTTCTGCCTTTGTTAAGGAGGGTAGCATTCCTGAGGAGGAATTCTTGTGCCAAGAAAATCTTCACTATATTAATCTATTTTTTTCCAAGGTCAGGAGTTTACCACATAACCAGAAGGTAAATCAGGAATCTAGCTTCACAGTCCTTAGTAGACAAAATATGAAACTTGTACATTCCTCAGGATATGAGACTCCCCGTAACAATAAAGACACTCGGTACGCCTACCCACACAGCACCTCTCCAAGTGTCCCAGGAGAAAGACATCTAACGAATGAACAATTAGAGGAAGTCACACTGTTACAGAAGTCTGGTCTTTGCAAGAAATAGAGATGCCATGTGGTATAAAACAAAGGAGAGTCTGGCCTCATTGGAAAGTAATAGCAGCTGGAATAGAAGAACAAAAAGACAGGAGCGAAAAGACAAAATAAGCTTAAAGTGAAGGACAGGGCAGGAAAGACATAGAGGAATGAAGATTTCCACAGGTGGCTGTAGGGTTATCACGCAGTCTGAAGCAACCTGGTAAAGCTTTTTTCTCAGCCAAGAAATTTGAGAGAAACTAAGAAGCAGGCAATACAGTGTCTTTAACGTGCCCAGCATCAATGAAGGAATAAATGCTCCATGGATACAGAAAGCACTTTTTTTCAAGATGAAGGGACTGAGGTTCATATATCGCCCCTCCCGAACAGGCAAAAGGATGAGTGCTCGAAGGAGAAGTGGTATTTAGTTGCCAACAGAAGGTGTTGACAATGTTTTCTGCAACCTCCCACCATCTTCCACATTTCCATCTTTAGTGACAGCAGTGTTGTCAATAATATCTAAGCACCGACTCCTCTCTTAACTATTTTTGATTTGGTCATCTGCCAGCCTCCCTCCAAGTTTCTCAATAGGAAGTGAAAGTCAAGTTGACTCCCTGCTACCACACTGGTGCACAGATGCAGCAATTGTCAGACAAATGTTAGAAAAATGCTGGGAAATTATAGAGATCAAGAAACAGAAAAAGTTAAGGGAGGATGACCAAAATATTTACTGATGTTACATTATCGAAAGGATAAAACAGTGCCCAAAGACCTCAACTATGTCTTGTCTGAATGAGAGAAAGGCAAGAGGCATCCATCCCTAAAAGCCAACGAGCTTCGGGATTCATCAGCAAATTACTGGCGGTAAGACATTACGGGAGAGAACTTCCCCCAACGCAAAGAAGGATTTTGTATAGGAGCAAACACAAAGTATGGGAAATAACAGAGATGAAGGGGAAGAGATGGTGAATATGTGGGAACAAAACGGTATAGTGGGGAATGAAAATGTCAAAAAGACGTGAAGGGGAAAAAGAGATCTGATAATGGGGGGGAAAAAAGGATAAATTATTTAAATTAGAAAAGAGGACAGATAGAAAAGTGGGAAAGAAAAGAACTAAGAAACTGAAACTTTAAAAGCAGTAACAAAATAGGAAGCTGGTATTTTCTGAGGGAATGAATACATGAGGCGCACATTTCATTCTACTGCCTCAAAAGGTGCATGGAGGTGATGCTCAGTAATTCTCCCTTTGTGACAAGTTCACAATTTCTCAGGATGTTCCATGGAAACAAAACAAGCACAGAAAGTTTTCAATATGAACACTATCATCTGTTTAAGGGCTGTTGCCACAGCAACCAGGAACCAAGGGAAGAATCAGTCACCATGAAACCACACTGCCCTGAGAAACAAGCAACGTGAGATAATTTTTTCAGTCTCTAACAACATAGACACAGTACTGCTGAACATTTAAGGGCTAAAATGAGGTACACCAAGTAATGAAGTTGGTGGTTTATGTTCAAATTCTACCACATACTCAACCCGCTCCGTGAAGTTATGAGTGTCTGACAACCCAGCACTCACACACACAGCTCCGTGCTTCAGGCTCCTTAAGGCCAGAACATTTCCGCTACAGAAAGACTGGAAAAGGTAAAATTCAGAGTTGCCAGCAGAAGAATTCTGGGGTGGTTGCTTTGGGGTGTTTTTTTATTGTAGAAAATATTCGAAGTGGATTCTGCTTTGGATAAAATATTTCAGTGAACAGCAGGGAAAAAAAAGATAACATTATTTACATCCCAGTATCTTGGATGTACAGTAAAAACAACCTATGAGAAACATATATTTTCCTGTTTTTTTGTTTGTTTGGTTGGTTTTGTTTGTTTGTTTTAACTTTTATTTTTATGAGAAACATATCTTTTCCTGTTTTTTTTTTGTTTGTTTGGTTTTGTTTGTTTGTTTTAACTTTTATTTGTTTGTGTTGGCTTGCATAACTTGTCAGGCTCACATTCTTCAGAATTCCTCGCAAAGTCTTGAAGAATAAGTCTACTACAAAAAGCATCTATTTAAGAAAGAGGCCTCCTTACGGACTGAACGGAGTTTGCCACGTTGTACAGACAATGAAACCTCATTAAAACCACATGTTCTTGTGTTCTCCTTCTATGATGCTACCGTATATATACAGGCAAACTACGTTGTCCCTTTTCTCAGGCAGATGAACTAAAGAGTTAAAGGAGCAGGAGGAATGAGCAGAGCATCTTCTTGGGGGGCAGCTAAACAAAACTGCTGCAGTACAGCACAGGAACTTCACTTCCCTCAGCAAACAAAACAGAAAGCAGGAGAGAAAACATTGATTTATCTCACCTATGGCACATTACCTACAGGCAGCATATTGGGACTCCAGAAATATGCAAAACCTCCTCCTAGAATTTCACTCCCACAGGTGAAGTTATGTAAATTCCATCTGTAACATGATCTGTTCACTCCACTCTTTTCAAATTACAGCCTTCTAAGCCTCTAAAGGCAAAAGAACTGCCCAAGTACAGCAATCTAGAAAATGGTTTAAAATTCTTAAAACATTATTTTGAGATTGAAATTAGCCTCCCTTTCATTTTTACCATGACAGCTCAACATTCATGAACGTAAACTCTGTGAGTGAGTCATTAGAAAAAGAAAGGGTGAGTCAAAAGCTTTCAGGACACATCTCTTCTGAAAAGCCACTCTAAAACATTCGCACATCGATCCCATCACCTTTGGATCACTGGTTGCACAGATCAGCGCTATCACTTAACTAAATATTGCACTCAAGTTAAAGGCCAAGCACGAGTTAACTTGAAGGTGTTTTGGCAACTTGTAAAGGGAAGCATCTTACTGATCTTCAAACAGTGTTCATTTATTTTATGTAAGCCCTCCACCTTTTTAAAGAACTCTATTTCAAGTCAAACATGAAGATATTTTTCTACTTTCATTGTTCACAATCTAAGGAGAGAAGATGAGAAGAGAATGTTATCATTTACCATTCTGAACTCATTTAGCATTTTTATTTGCAATTAAAGATATATTAGAAAGATTGTCCTTCTTAACTGGAAAATGGCTGCTTCCTCCTATCTGAAGAAACTTGGTTGCACTCTTCCCAGCAGCTTGTAGCCCAAGAGACACTTTCAATCAGTTTCCTATTACAACGGCAACCTTCAAAATTTGAGTAATTCCTAGTTCATTTCTTAAAACTCATGAACAGTCTAATGGTAATGGAGAAAAGGAGACTGGGGTCTTTCCGAGGAACAATTTAATCAGATTGAAATGTTAAGAAATTAAGGAAAACAGAATTGTGTTATCAGGGACTGGATACAAAGACTCATACTCCAGTTCCCAGCCAAAGCTTTATGCCATCACACCTCTAATTCTGGCAACATTTTAACGGTAATAAAGCTATACCTATTTGCACTACATTACCTGAAACACGAAGAAAACTGTGCACGAGCACAGAGCTGTGTTTCAGGGAGAAGAAATTCATAATTCAAATTGCTAGGTTGTAACTGAATTATGAGCAACAGATGTCCACACAGAGCAAAGGAAGGCCTATGCTGTCTGCTAGGACTGATAGAGTAGTCACATACACTTCTAAAAGTGAACTGAGACACCATCTGGCTTGTTTTACTGCTCTACAAGGCAAAATATGTGAATATCTGCATTTGATGGTTTAACTAAACCAGAGAAAACAAAAAGGCTCGGCTATTCTATTCAATAAGGAAATAAACCAAGAGTGTTAAAGGTGGCAAAAAGAAAGTTCCTGTGGTTGACCTCTGTAAGAAAGTTCGAGAACTTAATTTCTGCACTTTCTTAAAAGAAACAAGCCTTATTCAAAGTACATCTGCAAACTGAGGAATTATGTAGACAATTTTCAACATCTCTGAAAAAGATGCTAACAATACAAATACCCAAAAGAGTCAGGAGCATTTTGACTTCCTAACTTTTCACAATAGCTCTTACTGAAGACCACCGAGAGGCTTTACCTTTCAGCCTCATTTTTTGATGAAAGAATGCCAGAAGTACTGATATCTTTACAGGACTGTCTGACCCTCTGCTTACATCTTGCGAAGCAGTTTTACCACAAAGAGCTATATAAAACACTTCAGTGGCTATGAGCAGTTCAATAGTGTATGAAAGACTGATGCAGATGAATAAAGAAATACGTTATTTTTAAGAAACAGGAACCATGAAAGATACATGAACCAAAAATGTATTCTTCCCATAACTTAATATAATCCTTACAGAATGTATATCAATACCTGCTGCTGCCTTTGCCTCCTCATTTGGGCCACCTGAGACATCATGATTTGACGATCCAGTAACTCCATTCTCTGCTGCCTCTGGATGTCAACTGTTGCTCCCATTCCCACTCGAACTTCATTTGTTGGTTCCGCAGATGAGAAGATTGGTTCAAGTGTCCAAGAAAATATCTTTGCTACCCAGCTGGGTACACAAAGAATTCGATGAACTTTTAATACACTGTTATTGTAGCAAATCCCAGAAACCTATAAGCAAAAAGGAAATGTTAAAAAAAAAAAGCTTCAACTCCCCCAACTCCACCAAATTTACTTTGTAATTAGCTGCTGATAGCAGTGAGCCTTTCTGTTTTTAAAGCACTTTTTATTGTATTTACCCAGAGTTCCCAGGCAAGAATCAGAGAAAGAGTAGGGGATTTCTTTACCTCCAGCTTCCCCACAACTCACACTATTATTTTTTTAAATCTGTGTACTGCATTGCCTGTGACTCAGAAAGCTGCTCGGGGTTTTCTGTTTGTTTCTGAATTTGAGACCAAACCAAGCAATCCTTTCTCAAAGAGGTCAAAATTAAAGCAAAATTTTCAATAAAAGAAACTGGTCAGGGTATGCTGCATGCTGACCTGAGAAGACTAGGGCTGCTCCTTTAAAAACCAACCCCCTTAAGGCTTCTGTTCCCACCACCCAATTCTCTTCTAGTAAAAACAAAAGCAAAACAGCTGATGTGAAGTTAAATCTAAGAGCAGGCATAGACTTATTCCAGAAGGATCCAACCTACCTTCTAGGAGGAAAAAGAAAAAAAAAAAGGTTCAAAACCTGTGATATTGAAAAAGCCATTTTTTGTGATGCTCTTCTTCTACCTGTAAGAAAAATATCCATTCGCTGCATTCACACTCATGCTTGCCCTAGGGCTTGTCTTCAGATTCAGGAGGAGCAAAGAAATCCATGTGTCCCCATAAATGATCTACAGGCAGCACTCAGCCATCATTTCAAATCCCACCGGGAAGCCCTAGTGCTTGGCCAAAGTGGTCCAGCAGAAAGGCCAAAGTTCTTGCACAAACTCCGAGTCTGCATTCTGCTTGACGCCACATTTCAGTATTCATGACTATTTATTGTCTGTTACACCACAAGAATTATGCTATGACACCAGAGCGAAATGAACAGGAAGAGATATGAACACCCAAAAAATCATTAGCACACTCAAACAATGCAATTATGCTTGAAGCAATGTAGAAACTCCACATCTGGGCTCTTTAATTTGGGGATATTTGTTTTATCTCACTGGCATTTGTATCAACATACTGAATGCACTGCTGCATATAGAAAGGGACCCAGCATAGGAAAATGCAACATTCTTCGGAAGACGGATGTTTCTGAGATCATTTACAAGGTTATTGTTAGCTATTCAGTGAGATGAGACTTTTAGCAAACACATTCTGCTTTGGGAAACAGCGATTTTCATTTTATGTCTGCTCCCAAAGCCAAACACAGGCTACCATTCCAAAATGAGAAAAAACAATTTTAAACTACCCTTAACCCCTTCAATCTTTTTGTGCTATGAGGAAGGAGGTAAAAGGGATGGGATAAGAGGAAGGTCATAATCTCTGGCATCATAGTGAAGGCTGCCTTTAACTTTAAAAAAATTCTATATTCAAAGTAAGGTCCTGCCTGGACTCCAGGAATAACATGGCACTGGAACGGAAGCTTCTTCATGACCTCAGAAATTCTTTCATCAGCCCTAGTGAAACTATTTCAAATGACTGTAAGTCCATGACGAAAACTTATGCACATCTACTGGAAACTAAGATAGAACTATGCTTGCCAAAGACTAAGCAGAGGAAAATTCGTATCACTTCTGCAATTCATCTACATTTGTTCTGTTGTACCTGAGGTATCTACGTAGCACTAAGGTCCCTCAGAACCTGGTCGCAAGAGAGATACACAGCTTGGCTCCTCACTCAAGAAGACATAGATTGTAGGGCTACCAGGAAGGTCACTTTTTTGGGAACAAGAATCATTGAACCTGGTTGCTAATAATACATATACACTTAATCTGATGATTTCTCACATGCAAAATGCAGGAACAACACCAGAACCTAGAAATTATCTCCCTTCCTCCCAGCCCGTATTGTTAGGCTATGGAGCCAGGCCCCTGCTTTGGTCTCAGGGATTCTGCATTCCTGGTTGCACAGGGAAAAGCGCTCCTGGTCAAAATGCTTTGTCCAACATCACACCAACATTCTCTCACTTCTTCCAAATGTCCCTCCCAGCTACTGATCTCTGCCCACTCTTATCACCCACAGTCCTTTGCTAAGGTCTGATGTTTGCATGGCACCCTGAATCTTGAATGGGTTCAAAAAGTCACAAGAACAAAACAAAGCAAATGGTGATAGGAAAATCTACATCTTCCTCAATGTATGACAAATCTTGGCACGTGTCTCAACACATTAACCACAAACAGAATCGTTCTTTTATCAACTCAAGATAGAAAATACAGGAAGGAGGTAGCAGGAACGTGTCTTTACTGTATTTAGGGACTTGTTTGTCTCAGAAAAGAAAGTGCACGGCAAGCACCAGCTAGTAGCCACGTCAATAAAAGCATTCTCATATTTTTCTAAGTAGACATGGTTAGTCATAGTATCATTTAGGTTGGAAAAGACCTTTAAGATCATTGAGTCCCATTGTTAGCCTAGCTCTGCCACATCCGCCACTAAGCCATGTCCCTAACCACCACATCCACACGTCTTTTAATCCCCTCAGGGATGGTGACTCAATCTCTTCCCTGGGCAGCCCGTTACAATGCTGGACAACCCTTCCAGTGAAGAAATTTTTCCTAATGTCCAACATAAACCTCCCCTGGAACAACATGAGGGTGTTTCCTCTTGCTTTATTTGGGAAAAAGACCAACATCCACCTCATTACAACCTCCTTCCAGGTAGTTATAAAGAGCAAGTCTTTCCAGAACATTTAATCAGAAAAAAACGCTTTATAAGGCTAAAAGTTTATGGACATTGCTAAAAAGGGAACAACACTTAGCACTGTGTGCGAGACTCATACACAAGGCTCCTACCTGCCTTCCTAGCTTTGCTGAGCTCTCTGGAGTAGCATGCCTGGTTCACAGGCAATGCAGCAGCTGGAGAGGGCTGTCTTCTCCTTCCTTGCTGCTCCTCAGCAGCAGACCAGAGCCTTGGCCCCTCCTTGTCCTGCCTTCGACAGAAACTCATGGCATAACCTGAACGTGTGGACTTCTGTGCTCACAAGAGCATGAAGTTGAGAAGTCTGACAATACAAAGTTCACAGTAAAATCTAAACCAGAAAGTTTCTAGTGGGGGAACAAGACAAAACTGTGTGAGACTAGCAGAAGAGAAACGCATCTCTGACATCTAGTTGCCAAGAAACTTACTATGAACCAGTAATTGCTCAGAGCAAGTGTTTGAGACTGCAATTCTTCACAAGTATAAACAGATGGAAGGACAGACTTAGCGGTGAAGTCTATGCTGGCAATCCACCTTGTTACCTCCACCTCTGTTGGGATTTCACTACCACTCCTTTTCCTCTCTCACTTGATTTACTATTCCAATTATAAAGCTATCAGATGGAAGAAACTTTAAAGGCTGTGCTCAGTTTTAACAAATTTTCAAGAAGTTTCATCTAGCAGGGGAGAGATATCCATTTGCATATTTCCAATAAACCCAGAATGGAGACATTTGTAGTTAAAATATATCTCGTGACTCAGTCTGGCTTAGTGTCATACACTTGTCTTAATGTCAAGTTATTTCCAAAGAACTTCCTCTTTTGCTGGTTCATATGCAGAACTTGATATATATAATGTAAAAAAAAAAATAAATCACAAGCTTTCACGAAGTATAAAGTGACTTTTTATACCATTTGTCTTTCAGTCATGTAGTGAATTTCTAGTACTTAAGAAACTAAATGAACTTTTTTTATTCAATGAAGATAAGATGATCTCATTATATCCTAACTTCAGCACTGTGTATCAGATAAAGGGCTACTTCCCCCAAACAGATGAGCCTCCAGAGTACTTTAGGCTCTAAAAAGTCGCCACAGAACGATGCTGCAGTTAAGTTCACACTGCTAAAATTGAGAATTTTTGGCTGGTAATATAAAATGCATCCTAGTTACTTTCTGTTAGTCACACCATCATAACCTACAACCTCATCCACCACATCGTATGAGGCACAATGTTAAGCAGAGGAAACAAAGTATGCTGCAAATTGTTCGGCACACTGCAGAAAAAAGTGTGCTTACTTTTTTTTCTGTTTCTTAACATCATGGCTTACTACTGGGCATTCACACGAAGTTTCCTAACCTCTTCCTGCCCCTGTATAAAGCCCAATCTCCCCTCTCCCCTCTCCTTGTGTCCCTTCAAAGTTGTATGCTTTGTAGAAAAAGGAAGTTAGCTGTAGTTTCTCTTTTACATTAGGTAAACCAAACACGGAAACTCTCCAATATTTTACACGACAAAGACATATTCTCCACTACTAACAGGTATTCTAAATCACTGTACTTGATTAACACTAAAAAAGGAAATCAAACTGAAAAAAACAGTAGGCAGATTGGTATAGAAAATATTGTTGAAAATTATTTGGCCTCATGGCTAGAACTTGACAGCAAACACTCGATTATTTTGTTCTGAATCATATATATTCAAGACTTTACTGTTTTCAGATATCAACAAACTGAAAGGAAACAGCAGTAGCCTTAAGGTGAAATGATGTTTTTATACCTATTTTATCTGCTTTATCCTTAGCGTGTTCTGAATTCTATGCTACTAGAAAGAAAACAAGGGGTTAAAGTTTGCATTGAGATTCTGTATTTTGCTTTGATTAGAGAAACATATTTATCAAACCATGAGAGATCGTGTGAAAATCACCAGACAAATCAAACCACTACACATGTTTTCAACTTCTACAACCTCTATTGCAATGTTAGCACAACAGACTGTTTGTGTTTTCTTTGCGGAAATAGTTACTAAGAGCATAAACAGCCTTTTGAAATAGTTACCTTGCCAGAAAAGTAAGATTATAAAAACAACAAACTCATTCTCTTCAATCTTCTTCCCAGTTGACTGTGCTCATAAATTTTACAGATACCTTGATTTTTTTTCCTTTGGAGTCCATCAATGCCATCTTCATTGTTCAGGTGCGATCTTTATCAGATCTCAGTCATTTTTTTTATGAACAAGCATGACTGCAATGCCATTTCAGCAGTTCTTGACTTGTACTTCTGAC